ATTTGAGATGAAAGATCTGGGAAAGACTCGATACTGTCTTGGTCTCGAGACAGAGCACCGCTCAGTTGGAATCTTAGTATATCAATCGAACTACACCCAGAAAGTGTTGCGCCTTTTTAACGAAGATAAAGCGAAACCTGTGAGTATTCCTATGGTCATTCGATCGCTAAATGCAAAATAAGATCCCTTCCGTCTGAAGAAGGATGATGAAGAGATTTTGGAGCCTGAAGTTCTTTATCTAAGTGTGATAGGCGCTTTATTGTACTTAGCTCAATGCACTCGACCTGACATCTCCTTTGCTATTAATCTTTTGGCAAGATATAGTAATACACTAACATGCAGATACTTGATTGGTGTTAAAGACATTTTCTGTTACCTTAAGGGTAATACGGATCTGGGCTTGTTCTATCCCATCCTAAAATTACCAAAGTTCACATGAATCAGATTGAAATCCGAAGTTCTGAAAGGAAAAAAAAAATGTTTAGCTAACTAGAAATATACACTGCTGGTGTGGAAGCTAGACTTGTAATCAGGAGAGGCTAAAATGTCTCTGTGAGTCTTCTCGGCCCCTGAAAGTGGTACATAACTGTGGCGACGCAGAATACTTATCTAATCCACACTCAAGAGGGAGTGGTATAAACTTCTTATTTAAGTCTGATTGTGTAAATCCTATATTAGATTGGATTCTAGTTATTCCACCATATTAGGACTTGTATTCCTTAGAGGAGAACACATCATCTACACAACCCTACAAACACATCTCTTTCTCTGTATATATATTTTCTTTGTGCCGCCGGCCCCTTCTCCCTGTCAGTTAAATATAGGCCACAACAATTACCTAGTTTTTAGTAATTTTTAAAACAGGGTGTTGATAAAAAAAAAAAATCTTTTAAAACAACCAATTTAACTTAAAAAAAAAAAAAAAAAAAAAGGGGACTTTCCCTTTTTGAAATCGAATTGTTACTGATTTCAACTATTTCTCAAGGTTATCTAAGTTCTGAAAAGGTGCCTACTCCTTAATATCCTCCATAAATATTTAAATTATAGTCCAGACAAACAACTTAACTTTTGTCAAATAAATTTCACTGTTGCATATTGTGTTGGAGACACTGTTCTAAAAATCGGCCTAAACAACCGTCCAAGCAATTTATGGTAGAGGACCAATATGATTTTATCCAAAATGTAGAGAAAAATTGGATGGGAGTTAGGCGGTTGCTTAGGCGAGCTAATCGGTTTATGATTTGGGATTCCATGGTTTTTTAATTTTTTTTTAATTAAGTTAAAGGGTTTTCTGGGTAGCCTACCCAAAAGAACTCATATTATTTCTCTAGCCAATTCGTGTTTCTCTTCTTCTTGTCTTTTTCGCACAAATGTATTCTCTCATCTTTTTCTCTCTCACCGACTTTGACTCTGCATGTGTCATCTCTCACAACTGCCATCACCTAGACTTGCGCTTGCCATCACCTAATATCATTCTGCAGCCTGCTCAAACTTTACAAGTAAGTTTTCAATTTTTTTGTTCTTTTTAGATTTTAATCTTTAACTCTCTTCATACTGCAATTGAATAGCGTTGAATTCTAGATGCACGACCCATTTACATATATTGATTTATTGATTCATTGATTAATTTTTTAAGAAAGAGGATGTCAATTTAGATTTTGAATTATTGGATTTTCAAATTTGATTTTGGGTTTTAGGTTTTTATTGTTTTTTACTAAGTAGGCACCGACTTATGTGTTATATAATAAAATTAAATAAATCTGCCTTGTTCGCCTAGATCCCCACCTAACTACTAGGCCCAGCTCCCCGTTCGAAACTAGCGCCTTTTAGAACCTTGACTGGAGATGAGCATTGTTCACCAGAGATCAAGGACCCGATGATGGTTTCTTGATTTATAGACAGTTGAATCCTGATAGATAGATATTTAATATGCAAGCCTCTGACTACCCAACAAGTAGGTCTATTTCGATTTGACTTTTCTTTTTTGTTCATGTGATCTTACTATTATAATGTACTACATTTTCTTATAGTAAAATCTAAACTACATATTAATAAAACTTTCTTTGTTAACAGAAAAGGTTAAAAAAACAGTTTTATCTTCTATCACAACAAAAAGTTAGAACAGTAACGTAATTTTACAAAATAAAATTTTTCTATTTTTTGTTTAAGCCTCACGCTGCTGGTGATTTTATAATATCTAATTTAAACAAAAAAAAAAAAAAAAAACCCTCTCTTCCTCTCTTTCAATTTAAAAAACAAAAGTAAAAATTTTCGCAAACTTTGTGTGTGGGCATATACTAGTGTTATATCTTTATACATTTTGTTAAACTGTTCGGTTTCTGTTGACATTAGTTTATTGTCTATTGAATTTTTATTTGTCTGGAAAAGTATGCATAAACCTCTTAAAACGGTTTAATATTTTGAATTTCAAACCAATGGATAGGTTAGAACCAAATTTCCGCACGGGCTAAGCGATCCTCGAAAAACTGCAAAGATTAACAAACAACAATAAAGAACCTTGACAGCATTGTGGTACCGGCCAAGAACTCTATGAACCTAGACAACATTATGGTATCGGCCAGGAACTCTCTAAAACCAATCCCGATTAGATGTGAATTCCCAAGATACCCTCTTAATTGGGATGCAATTAGGAGTCGATTACTTAAGGGACAAGTATTTCGTTTTGGACGGAGCAGACCCCGCTTACCTTTCTGGTGTCTATTGAAGTGACATGCTCTGCCCAGGTCGTGAGGATGGATCCAGACTAAGTTGCATACCCAGACCTTAGAAATTAATCAGGTCATTCCGACCCCTGTACCCCTGGTGATCCAAAAATCATGATCCCACATGATACTCCAGCGGCAATTAATTTTAAGCTTCAAGTAAACATGGAGCACCAAGAGCTGATGCATGTATGTATAGAAGTATTACAAGGCTAGATATTAATCATGCAGTAAGTGTTGAGAAATCTACGAATCAAAAATCCCTGATTGTTGTATATTTACTTAGTTAGGAAGTCAACTCATTCTTTCATGGAGTTAATCATGTATAATCTCTGTATATGTTTTACTTCTCCGTTCATATCAATAATATACAGAAAATTACAAACCTTTGGTTCTTATGATGGTATCAGAGTCCCTTCGTGGTGGCTCCTGATTTTCCTTTTTGTGTTCATGTGCTTTTGAAGCTTTCAAGAGCAAGACATTTTTTTTCCCTTGCCTTGAATCACAATTTAATCATGGGAATAAGAGAAAATTCAAACATCAACTCCAATTCTATCTCCAATCAGCAGACGCATCTTTTCAAATTGCTTGCTGGGCTCACGCCATAACAACTCCAACAACTTATAACAGCTATATCCATGGTAAAATTACAAAACTTAGAAAATTGCAATGCATTTGCAAATACGGCAGGTCGGGTTTTTTTGTGAGTTTCCATCAATTAATTCTGTATCTTCTAATACATGGATTTTGGATAATGGAGTGACATATCACATTGCATCCGACTCTGCTCTTTTCACTCGAACACATAGTTCTTCCATGCCTTTAGTTAATTTACCCACAAGTTCATCTGCTGCTATTTCTTCAATTGGCTCAATACTTTTTGACAAGAATATCACTTTGAACAATGTTCTTTGTGTTCCCTCATTCCGTCTTAATTTGATGTCTGCCAGCAAAGTCACTAAATCCTCAAATTGTTGTGTCATTCTTTTTCCTGACTTTTGTGTTTTACATGACTTGGCTACGGGGATGATAATTGGCTTGGGTAAGCGGCGAGGAGGTCTTTGTTACATGTCACCACTAAATACAGCCCCCACAACCCCCTTTTCATGTCATGTTTCCCACACATCTAGTACATGGTATCGACGCCTTGGTCATCCTTCACCGGATCAACTCAAATTACTTTCCAATTTGCTTCCTTCGGGTACTGTTTCTATTGAACATAATTGTGATGTTTGTCCCATGGCTAAACAGGCAAGATTACCTTTTTCATTAAGTTCCATCTCTTCTAAAGTGCCCTTTGCTTTATTACATTGTGATATTTGAGGTCCTTACAAACTTAAATCTACTTCTGGGGCACGTTACTTTCTTACCACTGTTGATGATTACACCAGGTGCACTTGGATAGTTTTGATGACTCATAAGTACAAAACACAATCCCTTATGAAATCCTTTGTCACATTTGTTTGTAGTCAATTTAGTACCATCATCAAAGCAATAAGGTTTGATAATGGAGCCAAATTTTTCTCATTTCGATATTTTTTTCCTTGATAGTGGGTTGAACTTCAACGTTCATGTGTTTACATTCCACAACAAAATGGAGTAGTTGAATGCAAGCATTGCCACATTCTCATTGTGGCTCGTGCTTTCCTCTTCCAAGCCAATTTATCTTATCAATAGGCTACCCACTCCATTACTATCCAAATAAGTCACCCTATGAGAGGTAATACAATCGAACCCCCAAGCTCGATCATCTCAGGGTATTTAGGTGCCTTTGTTATCCTACTGTTGTTCATCCATTACAAAAATTCGATTCACGTACCCGTTGTATTTTTGTTGGCTATCCAACAGGTCAAAAGGTATATAAGCTTTATGATTTGAGGACAACACAATTTCTTGTCAGTAGAGATCTGAAATTCCATGAAAATATTTTTTCCTATGCATCTTTAACTCCAGAAGACCATCATCAAGACTCACAAATTGTTGTACCCATAGTTCACCCTTATTCTCCTAGTCAATATGTGGGCTCCACCACCCCACCTATTATTTCCTCTCCATCCGCCCATCCACCACCACCTACATCTCAAGAGTCAGATGCCACCACCCCACCCATTATTTCCTCACCTTCTACCTATCCACCACCACCTACATCTCATGACTCAGAGGCCACCACCCTACACATTATTTTCTCACCTTCCGCTCATACACCAACACCTCTATCTTATGATTTAGTGGCTACCACCCATATGGACTCCACCCACTCTTCCACCACTTCTCCTCCGTCTTTCCATGAATCAACCATTCATAACTTTCCACATGACAATTCAACCGATCCCAGTCCATCATCTCCTCTTTTGCCTGCTCCTACCAGACACTCTACTCGAACCCACAAACCGCCATCGTGGCATAAAGATTACCATATGTCAAACACAACTTTTACCCAATTAGTGCTGTTGTCCCACTCTACTCCAACTTCTGTTAAAGGTACGAAATATCCATTATCAAGTTTTGTTTCATATTCAAGACTATCTATGCAACATCATGTTTTTTTAGCTATTGTCTCAGGCCACAAAGAACCCACATCTTATTCACAAGCTGCTACATACCACAATTGGCAGCAAGCCATGACTGCCAAACTCAATGCTTTGCAACAGAATAATACATGGACGTTGGTTCCTCTACATGCGGGGTATAAACCCATTGGATGCAAATGGGTTTATCGCATTAAATATCAGTCTGATGGGACAATTGATTGCTATAAAGCTCGTGTTGTGGCAAAGGGCTACACCCAAGTTGAAGGCGTTGATTACATTGAGATGTTTTCGCCAACTACCAAACTCACCATTCTTCGTTGTATTCTCAGTCGCTGGTTCTCGCAATTGGAATATTCATCAGCTCGATGTTCAAAACGCCTTTCTCCATGGCGACTTGCACGAGGAGGTGTGCATGGACCTTTTTCCCGAACTTTGCCGACAGAATGAGCACTTGGTGTGTCCGCTCAACAAGTCTTTGTATGGTCTCAAACAAGCCTCTTGTAACTGGTTTTCCAAGTTTTCTAGTGTTATTCAACAAGCTGGATTTCAACAGTCCAAGGCTGATTATTCATTATTTACAAAAACCTGCGGTAGTTCTTTCACTGTGGTTCTCATATATGTTGACGATATCCTTCTCACAGGAAACAATCTTCATGAGATGGAACACTTGAAGTCCGTTCTCCTTAAAAAATTTCGCATCAAAGACCTTGAAAACTTGAAGTATTTTTTGGGATTGGAATTCTCATGTTCTAAAAAGGGTATATTTGTATCTCAACGCAAATATTCCTTGGATATCTTACAAGATGTAGGACTTTTAGGTGCAAAGCCGGAAACTTTTCCAATGGAGCAGCACTTAAAGCTTACCCCTGATGACGGTGAATTACTTCATGATCCAACCCAGTATAGAAGAATGGTGGGTCGATTAATCTACTTGACAATTACTAGACCAGACATAGTTTATTCAGTTCAAACCTTAAGTCAATATATGCATCAGCATCAGAAGCCTCACCTATAAGCAGCTTTGCGGGTTTCGTGATACATTAAAGGAAGTCCAGGTCAGGGATTGTTATTTCTGGCTACTAATGACCTTTCTTTAAAAGCCTACTGTGACTTAGATATTGGGTAGGGTGTAAGGCAACAAGGAAATCAGTCACATGATTATGTCTGTTTATGGGTGATGCCCTCATTTCCTGGAAGTCGATGAAACCATGAAATGTTTCTCATTCCTTTGCCGGAGCAGAATACCGGGCAATACCGGGCAATGGCAACCACATGTTTAGAGCTAACTTGGTTGCAATATATACTTCGTGATTTGAATGTTTTACAAGATAAACCAATTGCCCTTTATTGTGACAACAGAGCTGCTATCCACATTGCAGTTTTCCATGAGCGCACAAAGCATATTGAAATTGATTGCCACATTGTTCGAGATAAGCAACAAGCTGGATTAATTTCTCCCTCCTATGTTCCTTCATGAATTCAATTGGCTGACATATTCACGAAGGCACTAGGAAGAGATAACTTCAATTCTCTCAAAACAAGTTGGGACTTCACAACATTCACTCTCCAACTTGAGGGTGAGTGTTGAGAAATCTACGAATGAAATTCCTGATTGTTGTATATTTACCTTATGTATATTTACTTAGTTAGGAAGTCAACTCCTTCTTTCATGAAGTTAATCATTATAATCTCTGTATATATTTTACTTCCCTGTTCATATCAATAATATAAAGAAAATTCCAAACCTTTGGTTCTTGTGAGTAAGTGTAGTATGTCGATTCATGAATCATCCAAGCAATCATCGTTTTGCTGATGTGAAATAATATTAAGATACGTGCAAGGAACCAAAGGATATATCATCATCTATACTCAAGAGAAAGAAAGCATTTTAGTTGGGTTCACGGATTGTGATTGGGATGGTGAAATTGATGGTAGAAGGATACATAATCTGGGCATGTGTTTTATCGTGGTCGTCTAAGAAGCAAAGTACATTAATGAGATTATCAACAACCAAAGCGGAGTATATTTTAGCCACAAGTGCAGCATGTGAAGCAGTTTGAATTAGAAGAATATTTCATCAAAAGCAACACACTCCAACTGATATCATAGCAGGTCAAACCACATAGAAATTTGGCATCATTTTGTCAAAAATTAATTAGTTGAATACAGCAAGATTGAATTGAACTTCTGCGGGACGGATGAACAAATTACAGAGATGTTTTCACAAAAGTACTTCCAAGAGATATGTTCTATTGTTTCAGAGATAAGCTAAATGTTGCAGGACAAATCCAGTATGAGGAAGTGTTGAGATTACTGCATTTATCTGTAGTTTATGTAGAGTCGTATCAGTCTATACAGTTTTTTTTTTTTTGTTTTTTGTTTTTTGTTTCATTTGAATAGCAACCCCTTAAAGGTAATTGACTATAATTGTCTTTACTGAACAAATAAGCATAGTAAAGCAATGTACTAGTTGTGGACATAACCACATGGGCATCATCATGTATGTAGTGGTAATCCAGAAATTGGTACTGGTAATCTAGGAATTGGTGTTCGCCACCATGGGAGCACATATGGGAAGAATGCGAAACCTTCTTGAGACTCTACATCTATCTTTGTCCACTTTTCTGTGCGAGTGTTGCATATGAACATGCCGTCAGGTCCCTTTGTGTACATGATCGATCTCCTCATTATTTGGGTCGAAACCTAGCACACCAAACTGATTGTCATCGTCCAGAACTGGAACTGTTTCTTCGTGTACTGAATATATCCTCACGTCTTTCAAACTGTACCGCTTGTTGTTAGCTGTTGCTGTCTCATCTTCGTCTCCTTCTTTTAAGTCCCAAACATATTCACATCCACCGACATAGTCGCACATCTGTAGGCACCCTCCATGCTCGCCATAGCATTCAAGTATTGGTCCTACTGGATCATATTTTCTCAAAAATTGGTCATCAAAGTGAACGAAATGAAATTCATACTGTTGTTTATTGTTGTCGTCCATCATGAATGGATCCAACCCAATGAGATTGTTCTCACAATCTTCGTCTAGGCAATCACCCATCCAGTATAGCATTCGATTGTAAGTATAACTAATCTCACAATGGCTAGAAAATATAAACACAAAGGCTTGTGGGGACGATACAATTGACTTTCTCCATTCACCAGTTTCGGAAGAGAATATCTCCAGGCTGAATTCGGAGGAAAATGTCTTCCCTGGAACAAGAATTAATCTCACAATCCTGCACCTATAGTTAGCATTGATAATGATCTCTTTTTTGTCACTGTCGTCTTCCTCATAGTAGGGAGTATCACAGATGAATCCAACTGCTACATTTTGTTTAACGCAATTAGGGGTGGGAGGAAGAGCAACCAACCCATTGCCTGGTGTATGGATTGCAGATGTAGTAATCGCGTTGATAATTCTAGCTTGCACAACACAAAACTAGGTAATTATACGTCCCTACCACAATCGGCTCTTCCTTCAAATAGTGGAAACTCATGAGCCTTTTGAACAACGGAGTCAGCGGCTTGGACAACCCCGATGATACTCTAGTAAGAAATTCATTGGCTTTCCAACTTATCAGATCCTCCAAAGCACTTAGCGAAATGAGGATTGGAGATGAGAGTACACCAACTCTTGGACACACATTTGCTTTGGAAAACAAATTTCTTACTAGGAACCCGACAAAGGATTTCAACCAATACAGCCAGAGGAAGATCATCGATACTGATAGAATGGTTCATTAATTTTGATCTTTTTAAGTGATGGATAAAATCAGGGGCGGGTGCTGCTCCATGGGACGACTGGGATATTCCACTGTAGCTTCTTTTGATTGCAGTTTTCATGGCACTCGGTTTAGACCTACAAAACCAAAACCAACTGATACGGAGGTATAAATTAGGTTACCATCTCTACTTTTTCTACTCAAAATCTTATTATTTTTCAATTTTTGATCAAGATCCTTGGTTTTAATAAACGTCATTAATTGTTTAAAAAATAAATTATTTACCTGTCAAGATAATTAAAATTTATTTCCAAATATATTCATTTAATGTTTGAAACGTTACATTTGGTATATTTATATTTATGGCTAAATTTTATCATATATTTCTATTTCTAGTTTGCCATTTTTAATTTGCAACCTTCTTTTTTAAGTTGTATCATCTTTTCTTTTAAATTTTAAATTGTATCCATATATTAATTTCTTTTTGTCCATTATTTTTTTAAACTTTTATTTGTACTCATAATTTTTTTTAACCTTTTATATGTACCCATAATTTATTTATACTGTACCTGTGGATGCAAATTTCTTCCTCTTTGATCTTGGATAAAATTGCACCTACAAAACAAATAACACATTTAGTCAAGGCCAAGAGCCTCACGCGCGCATGATTAATAGGGGGGGAGGGGCTTTGGCCGAAGAACCTCCGATGCCAAAGTTAGAATTTTGAGAGAAAAGTGTTTTGGGAATTTTTGAGTGTTTAGCAAGAGTCAAGACCTAGGTTTTTAGAGGAAATGAGGTTGAATATATAGTGCATGGCCGGCCCCCTTTGGGAGAGAAGGTGACCGGCCTCTTGGGAGTTTTTTGGGTGTAATTGGTAGTTTAATTGACAATTAATAAATTAATTAGGTAATAAATGTATTAATTGACCAATTAACATAATTTTAAATGGAATTTTTTTGGGGGGTTACCTTGTGGAGAAGATATGATGAGGATGGATGAAATAGGTTTGAAAATAAATACCTATTTGGGCATTTTTTGACTTGATTGAAGAATGATTGTCCATTGCTCGCGCGTAGGAATTCTGATGTGCTTTGAGGGTAATTTTGTCATTTTTACCTAAAAATCCACGTGTCGCCTCTTGATTATTTTTGGCTCCACAAATGCCCCCACACCTGTTGAGCTGCTTGCAGAAAATGGCAACAGGTGTAGAGATTTTCTTTCTTTAGAAAACTTAAAATTGCTTCCTTTTTTTATGTTGATTCCCTCTTTAATAGGAAATTAGATCCTTCTAGAAAAGGGAAATAAATTTCTCTCAAAGCTTATTTAAGTACACCTTAAGTGGGTTATTAAATCAACTTTGGAGAGCGATTTATTCTACCCTACAAGAGAGAAAGAGCTTAGAGGATATTTGTTCCCCCTTCTCTAGCAATCTTCTACATCTTGCCAGTGCAAAAGATCGTTTTCATTTCTTTCTTCGTCTTCTTCGCGCCGCACCGAGGTAAGAAAAATTAATTTTCCTTGTCTTCTTCTTGGATAGTGCTATCGCAGGGCAACATTCGGGATGGTGTGGCATGTCAGCTGGTAAGGGCCATGAGTTGGCTCGGCATGGGGTGAGGAGGTGTTGTGGCAGGGACCATTGCTTGAGCTACTCAGCTTGGCTAGAGCCAAGGGTAGCTTGTGTGGCTGGGGCCGTGGATTGAGGCGTTGAGGCAGTGCTAGGCGAGCCGCATGATTTATGTCCTTTGGGCTCTTGGACCTGATGGGGGCCAGGTCGGTGATTGAGAAAGATGAGAAGGTCGAAGGCCTCATGGGCTGCTGGAATGCTGGGCATGCAAGCCTCCTGCCTGTTGCTCTGGGAGAAAAAAATGAGGAAAAAG